ATTTAAAGATATTAACTTAATAAATATTAATAAAATTAGATTATAAAAAAATATACTAATGTATAATATATTGTATTTAGATTTTATGTGATATTTTTTATTTATCATTCAATAAGGATTTTTTAAAATACTTTTATATAGAATTTTATATATTTCTATTAAATTTATTTATTAAACCATATAATTAAATTGATAAGTTTACATAATAATAAAGTATATAAAGTTTTGAAATTTTACAATAACTTGAAAAATATTCAGAAAATATATTTACAAATTTTTAACTAAAATCAATTATTAATATTTTACTATATTTTATATTATATAATAATATAAATTTATAAAATATTAAACTAGTATTTAAAGATTTTTTTTGACTTGCAATTAAAATTGCTAATTAAAATCTAGAGTTTAATCAGATATCTAAATAGTAAAGGTAAAACTTGGTTAAATTATATTAAAACTTTATTAAAATTTTTGTAAAAAGGTAAATTATATCAAAATTTATAAATATTTGGTGAAATTAAAGATTTAGATGTTTAATTAAATTTAAAATAAGTTTAGATAAGCACAAATTTACTTGCAATTATATTTACTTCCAATTCTTTTAAATATAATTTTATAAATATTTTTTGACATATTTTCATAAATATTTTCAAATACTTATAAAAAATATTGAATAATTTTTCATATGATATTTTATCTTTTTTGTAAATATCATACAAATTATTTATGATAAAAATTATCACTTTCATTATAATATGGTAATCATTAGCAAAAAAACTTGATATATTTTCTAAACTATTTTAAACTTGTATATTATAGAATTATACGAATTATACAAAACTGGTAATCTATTTTTTTAATAGCTTTATTATTTATTAACTTTTAGTTATAAATATGTATTAATAAATTCCAAAAGATATTTTATTATTTTAAGGTTAAGTAAATATAATTAAGAATAGTTACTTCATTGATATTAAAATCTCTAAGAAATATAGAATAAATTTAATATTATTAAATATTATACTAATAATATTTATAAAGCTTGGATTTTGTAAATAAATAAATTAATTAATTAGTATTACCTAAATTTTTAAAAAAAAATTAAATTTTGCATAAATTAAAAATTTATTTGGTTAATTCATATTGATAATTTGTTTTATTTTTTTCAGAAATTCATAAAATAATATTAGATAATATCATATTATTAAAATCATGAATTATTAAACAATAACAATAAGGATATTTGGAGGTTAATAAAAGATAAATTACTCTCAAAAAAGTTTCTGATCAATAAAAATAATATTTTATTATTTGAGACTTTTAATATAAATATAATATTTAATATATTTAATATTAAGTAAACTATTTTTAGCATCTAATGAATACTTTGATTTTATATTGTATGCTTTTTATAAGTTTAATATAGGATTCAGTTGAAATTATTCTTATTCTTTTTGCAATATTTTTTCAAATTTATAAAGATTTCTAGATATATATATTTACTATGCTTTCATTTAAGTTTATTCTATAAATATTTTATCAAGTTAAGGTTTGATAATTAAGAAGACCAGTTTCGTAAAGGTGCAATCCAGATGAATTTAATCTATCCAATCAACTATTTGATCAAAAATTAGATTATCTTTTCTTAAATATTTATGGTTAATCTGTAGATTGATCAGATTAATTATATACCTATTTTATTTTATATATTTTTATCTTTTTTCATATTTTTTAAAAATGTCAATTTATAAACTTAAATATTGCAAAAAGTGATAAATTATAATAAAAAAATTTATTAGTTAATTGGTTTATTTAAAAAATATTAATACTAATACTTACTTCTTATCTTTATAGAATAGTTTAAAATCTTGAAAATTTTGAAATCTAAAAATCTTAAAATATAGGATGAAAGTAAAGAAAGTAAATCCTAAATAATAATTAATTGGTATTTTTGTTTTTATAAATAAACTAATATTTAATTAACATAACTTTATAAATATTAGTTTTAGAACCTTTATAACTTAGGTTAAATCAGATTAGAGGTAAGTTTTAATAGAGAATTTTGTTAGCTATTATTTTATTTTATTTTTAAAATTAAACAAAAATTACAAAAATTTATCTTTAAATCAATCCAAAATCTATAAATCTTAGATTTAGAATGAAGGTAAATTTTAAATAAAATAATTAATTAGTGTTTTTATTTTTTATAAATAAACTAACATTTAACTAATTTACCTTTGTAAAACAGTTCAAATTCTTTAAACCTTAGATTGGATTTAAATCTAAGATAAAAATTTTTTATTAGGATTTTTTTTTATAAAAAAAAGGTTAAAAAAATAGAAATTAATTTTAACTTAACTTTATAGACTTTAAAACTTAGAATCTTGAATAAAAGATTAATTTTAATTACAATTTTTTTAGTTTTTTTATAAAAAAAATCTAACATTAAATTTATACTTATAGGATAGTCTGAATTCTTAAAGCCTAAAGTTAAATCGGAGTTGAATCAAATCAGAGGTAGTTCTAATTAAAAATTTTATTAGTAACTTTTTTAAAATTTAAAAAAAAAGAAACTAATATTAACTTATTTTTGTAGAGTAGTCCAAATCCTTAAAGCCTTAGATTAGAATCTGAGATAAGAATTATATTAGTATTTTTTATTTTTAAAAAATTGTTTAAATTGAAATTAATTTTATCTTTATATATCTATAAATCTTAGAATCTTAAACATGAGATAAATACTAGCACTAATTAATGGTTTTGCATTATTATTTTTATTTTTTTAAAAATGATTATATAAATTTTTAACTAATTTTCTTTTAAAACATTTTTTAACATTTTTTTATTTCTTATGATTTTGATTTAAACAAATTAGACTTGATAAAATAACATGAATATCTTTATTAGTTTAGTTAATGATATTTTAATTTTTTAGGATAAAGATGATTAAATTTAAATAATTATTTTTTGAATTATTTTTCATTTAAAAAAAAATTCATTTAAATTTAATATTTATTTATAAATAAAAAAATAAAATTATAATTCATATCATATGGGAGGTTTACTAGGAAAATGGGGCACTGAGCATTTTTTATTAAAATTTTAATTTTTATTGCATTTTAATCAAAAATTAAAATGCAATAAAAAATGCTCAGACTTCCATATACCCCTCAATTATATCACCTGATCGTTACATAGTATAAAAATAAAATAAAAAAGTGTTTTCATCGGATCCATCCGAGGATAATTCGCAATTCGCCTTTTATACGGATGGCTCATCGGATATCCGGATTGATCGGACTCGGATCGTATCTCTAATATTGACATCTAAAGCTTACTTAATACGCATAAAATTAATCATATTTAAACTTGAACTTTTAAAAATTTCTTTTATTCATCTGGCACAATGACTATTGAACTAATTTTTTTTTTATGTTACAATTTGTCAATGGACTCTCATCGAATCAATTATTGATCTGAATAATTTCAATAATAATTTCTGTTGGTTAATTATAGTATCAACTATAATGGAAAGAAAAGAAGAAAATTGGTATTACCAACTAGATTAAAATAAATAAAAACAAATATGAATTATATTATTATGTAATTCTATCGGAACGATCAACCGAAAAAAATATGATCCAATAATTTTATATTACTGAATTGCTCTTTAAACCTACAACGTTATTTCACATTTCCTTTAACGACACCCACAAACCTTCTATAGGGTTTAAATCGGGATTACTATCGGGGTATTTTTTTAAAAAAAACGCGTTAAATTGTGGAAGTGCCAACGACTCTCAAGCATTTTCTAAATTTTCACTTAAAACAAATCATTCATTATCCTCTGGAAGCAAAAAAAAAACTTGTTCTACCTCTTAACCAAAACCCGTCCCAAGCAAAATAAATTTTTTTTTGAAATTCTGAGCACTCAATATTTTACTATATTCCTGAATAACTGAAAAGTCCTTTCGTCAGTAAATACCGTTCGCTTCAATTATTATTTAAATATTTTGAGCCCATCCTATAAGCTTTCGGGTTTTGTTCGTTAGTAAGCATGAGTATTACCCCTTCTCGATTTCGTTTTATAGTCAAGGTGGATTATATGGTTCTAATCGGATACAAGAGAGACTTGAACTTTTTTTTAAAACAATTTACTGGCTAGCGCTCTTGATGATATTGTAGGATCCTTTTTACTTCGAACCAATGTTTTGGGAGGGCAACCACTATGTTATTTGTGAACTACACTTCCATTTTTTAGTTTGGAAATATTATAGTATAGTGTCTTTGGGGACCAGTTCGTTTTTAATTTCTTTGCATTTTGTATTCCCTGTCCCATAATTTTAGAATAGAATTTGCTATATATCTTGATGAACATTCATATTTAAAAAAAAATGTGGTAGCTAAGTTCAACATGTTAGGAAAAAAATCGATTTGATAACTAATTTTCCATGGGAAATTGTTCAAAGACTTTGTTAATACGCTGTAATCTATTTTTTAAAGCTAATTAACAATCTACAATTATTTTTACCTATAATAAAATTGGAAAGTCCCGGTTTAGTTTTCTCTTTTGCGGGCTTGTTTTTTGGTATATTCCTTCAGTAAGAATTCTTTCTTATTTTATTGTTGTCTAAAGTTCTTCGTGTGCATATATATGTTTGTTATGTAAAAAAAAAATTCTTGTTGATGGGGTTGTTTGAAGTTATAATAAAAAGTCATACTACCTATTCCATATAAGATTTGAATCTTCAAGGAGTCATGCAAATTCATGAAACTGTCTGTCTATACTCTTAATCAACCGCTCACTTTTTAAACAAATATATTGACACGTCAATATTTTTAACGTGTATTTATTAAGGTAATAAAAGCCTAATTTTCTTACAAAATATAAAAGATATAAATAGGTATATATGTAAATGAAAGCAATATGAACATCGAAAAAATATTTGAACTAAAAATAAAGATATATAAAAAAAAATTTTTTCCCTCTTTTTTATCTAAAACCTAAAAAGGGTTTTTGCAACATAAGATAATGGAGTTACAACGTTTAATTCTTCCACGCTTAAGTGATGGCTAAGAAGTTCATCATAATGGTGTTTTTCTAAAATTTTTTTAAATGGTTTGACCTTGTCGCAAAACTCCTTTCTGGAAATTCTTTTAAGATCAATCAACTTAATCATTGATTTGGTGTTATTCGATAAATCTCTGAAATGTTCTCTCAACCATAAAGAAGTATCATAAGAGGAAGAAGGATCATCGGAGATTGTGAAAGGAATTGAAGGAGTTTGAACCAGCCCCCACCTAAGAATATAATCCCATTTTTGAATTTCATATAATCTGAGTTTCTTATTTTCGAGAAGATAAATCAAGACATCTATATGTAAATTGACGAAATCAATAGATTTAAAAACAACTTCAGGAGTAAACTGACAGGTTTTGTCGCAGTGTGTATGCAATTTTTTGAATGACTGATGTTTAGAACTAACTTGGTGAACAAGACTAAATTGATTATTAAGTTGATTCTTCCTTTTTTCAATTAAATATTTTTGAAGAACTTCAACGAGGTTTGTAAAATTAATTACATCGGTTATAATCAGCATGTTTAAGATAAAATTTATATCTTTTGATTCCAAGTTAAAAGTTCCTCCATACAAATAACTAATAAATAAAAGTTATGTTAAGTAATTTTAATAAATAGAGTTGAATAAAGTTGAATGAATTACCGTAATATGTATCCAAAAGCTTGAGAATCAAAATTTTCATATTTTAGAACAATTGTGTTTCGATTATATTGTTCTTGAATTTCCTTTTCGAAAAATGTTGAACGAATTGAGAGAATTAACTTGTGTGCTTTATAATCACGGCACTTCTCACCTTCGCCAACCTTGATTATAACATCTGAATATTTTTCATTTTCTAACACTGTAAGGTAGTCATCAGATAGGTTTGAACTGAAATTATATGACATTATAACAGGATTTTTTTTTTTTACAAAGAAAACTTTGAAAATGATAGATATTTAAATTTTCATCCTTTTAAAGTTTAAATTTTCTTTATCGGGTAACAATCACAATTATTATTTTCATGCGATGAGATGCATTTTATTATTAAAAAAAATGGGCGTTAAACTGATTTATGTTGATCATTACCATGAAATTATTGATCTTCATTTTCATTTCTTTCTACCTTCTCATTCATATGTTCATTGTTTTGTTCGTTTCTCATAAATTTTTTATTTCAAATATAAATTTTATTAAGATTGAGTTAGAAGGTGACAACGATGAGCGGTTCCTAAAACATGCCACAACTTTTTCAATCCCTGCAAACCAATTTTAAGGATTCTGTCGACTATTTTAGGCTTAACCTTCTTTATATATCTTTATACAAATCAAGTCGTTTCACGAGCTATAAAAAGTAAAAACAAGAAATTTCCTTTTTTGATTTGTGCAACCAAAGCTCATGGTTTATCAGTACAAATACCAGTTATTTTATCGCAAAAGTATAAAAATTTATCAGGTCAGAATATATGCATGGAATATTGAAAGCACGATAATATTTTGAATAATTCTAACATCAAATAAAATCAGTAAAATTATTATATTTTTTGGTGGGCAAATATTAATATCTTTTCATCTCAGCATTCAAAACTTTATTTATATTTAATAATACCTCAGCTCATTCTATATTAAACGGACGGTTGATGTATAAAAAATATGATCTACAACAAATATTTTGTAAATCGCCTAAAAATGGTCAAAATTAACTGAAAGTATTGAATGAAAAAGTGTTTCTTGTTACTTTGCTTTGTTTCCTGAGATTTTTGTTGAATAACGAAAATGTTTTATTTTATTTTCCTGATTATTCAACATTCGAAACTTTAAAACCTATTTTTTTTTAAAAAAAAAAAGGATAAAGAATGAAATTTAGAAAGCTTTCTTTACTCCAGAAAACATCAAACGTCATTCAATGCCACGTTTTTTTGCGAAAGTTTCCAGTTGCCCCCTAAATTTACTGATGCATATGTAGTTTTCCGGACTCTTTTATTTAAAAGTCAAGGACATAATTTCTAAATTACAATATGTGTGTACTTTGCAGAAGAAAGGAAGAAACTATTAAAAGAAGAAAAAAAAATATTTTTATATGTTAAAAATGATTTTAAAGCAAGATTTAACTGCAAAGCTCCCTATATTGTCAATTAATAATTTTTTACCGTATTATGATATCAAACTTAAGCTCTCGACATAATAAATCCCTTGACGGAGATTGGGATATAACGAAGTTTCATTATTTAACTACCTCATTTTATAATATTATTTACTTTTAAAAAATTTCGATATGAAAAAGTCCTTAAATAGAACGAAGTTTTTGACATAACACAAAGATATACCAAGAGGTGTCATAACATCAGAAATAACATCCAAACACATGACTTCATACAATTTGTCATCATGCCTTTTGATTCTTTGATTAGATATTGGAGTCAATTCAAAAAAAGTAAAGTCAATTTTAGAATGTTTAATTGTGATTAATCATTTTTCCAAGAAAACAATTAAAGAAAAAAAATAAAAAAATTTATATTTTTACATTTTATAACAATTAGATAATTTTCAAAAGACGATAATGTTGAAATTCATCCTTTTTTTGTTTTAAAAAAAAAACTTCTATTGCTATTAAATCATCTGTTTTTATCAAATTTTCAGTTTTATTTGTATTATTTTTTCTTACTAAATTTATCATCTCAAAAATATGAGAAATAAGTTTAGTTTTATTCATTACATCTTTTTAAATTATTATTTTTTTTTACTTTCAGTTTCTTTTAATTTGAACTGCAATAATCAATGATTTTTTAATTATTTTTTAAAATTATTACTTTTAATAATAATTAGGATTCTATTGACTTGAATCAATTTAAAAACTATGATAACTTTTTTAATTGTAATTTTGATCCTTTTTTTTTACTATCTGTTATAGCAATCAAATATTAATTTTTCTGTTTTTATTAATTTATTAATTTTTTTTTAAGATTTCTTCTGAGTTGGATTATTTCAGAAAAATAAATAAGCATTTATTTTTTGTAAAAATGATTGAATAATATTAATATCCTTGCAGCAAGAAAATTGTGCAGCTATATTTGTAACATATTATAATTGTATAAAAAAAGCTAATTATGATCCTATAACAAAAGGTAATATTAAAAGGTGTAGAATCCTGTGGAGATGATGAGAGTATATGGGAGATTTGCTAAAAAATCAAAATAAACAAAAAACTAGCTTTATATGATATAAATTATTAGCTAAATACTTTTTAAGATGTAATTTGTTGATCATTTCCTAAATGATACATTAAACATG